CCCCAAAACCCCAAAACCCCAAAACCCCTTAGATTTTATTTCTAGATATAAAAGATTTATGGAATAAAAATAAATAAATAACTTGGACTCAATCTATAATGCTCTCAATTTAGCTTCTTGCTTCTAGTTTTCATATCGAAATTCCGCTAAACTCACTGATTTTTACTCCAGCCCATCTATGAACTAATGGCTGTACTTATTCTTTTTAATTCTTCCACTTCTTTCTCTAGTCTCCTTCTTGCCTATTTTTCTTTTTCCAACTTTTGCTCTAGCTATGAAGCATATGTTCTTGAACTTCTCATGCTCTGGGCACCTATCGATCTCATCGAAGACTTAGTCAACTTTGAATAAACACTCAAATTATCATCTTGGTTTTACTAGTACTGATGTTTCATTTAATGAGGTGTAAGTTCATCCTACTAGGGATAGAAATTCATATTTTCCTACAATTGCAATTGACCATCTCCCATCATCATATAGTCATTTTCCTGCTACTATTGTTACTCATCATCTAATCTAAGAGTTTCTCTTAGTTTATCTAACTCTTCATGATCTAATTACTGCACCTTTTCAATAATCTTTTGCTTTATCTCATCAGGATGTGTAATTTGACTAGCATTCTAGTATTGCTTTCTATGAGTAAGGGCTTATGCATTATCTGTAGTCAGGTTCTAAACTCCTCTACTTAGAATTTGACTGCTATTTCTCAAATATCTTTACTAGTTATTAGCACTTTCATTTCTTTACTAAGAACCTTTTCTTTACTAATTAGCTTATTTAAGGCTCATTAGATTGTTCACATTATTATTGCTATGACTCCCTGGATGGAAATTAGTTTTTATTTTGAAATTGCTCTCTCTAGATCTAAAAGATTTGACTGATTGCAAATCTTCATTGAATCTCTAATCTTTCTAAGCTTATAAGTTTTAGTTATTAGCCTACTACACTTTCTGTCCGAATCTCAGTTTTCTAGAAATTTGATTCTTGCTCTATACTGCTCTTTTGACATAAGATCCTTTAGTTGACGAGGACTAAGGTCTAGTTCTTGATTTCTAAACTTCTTGAGGCTCGTTTTATTCTTCCCCTCCTTGATTGATAGTTTTGAAATAATTATTTTATGAAGCATGTTTTGGGCTATCTATTATAAATCGTAAGGATTTAAGTTCATTTGATTGATATCTTACGATTTTTGAAGTATCTTTATGAGTTATCACGAACTAGATTTTTATTAGCTTTCACTGGAGATACGCTACTATTTTGAACATTATTTTGCGCTTGTCCTTAATTCTCACTCACAATCTTGAAATTCTGTTGCGATCTCTGCATGATATCTCTGTAGTAGCTTACATGATTAGGGTTGCTTCTTCCCAATTCATAATCTTGCTGACTGAAAGTGACATTAAGATCAAACTCTCAAAATTAATAAAAGAGCATCATATAATAAGAGGCTAAAAACTTACTAATTGAATCTATCTGAGATTGTTTAATAGTATAATGGAAAAACTTTGAATCTCTCTAAAAATCTAAAATGGGATGTCAATATTTGAATTTCAATTTTTAATGTATTAATGTGTACCTGCTCTAAGCACCATTCTCCATTTTGACTCTCTCACTCCAACCTAAAGAATCTGTCACGTAGCTCATTTTCCCTTAAATAAATTAAAATCTAAATAATTTATGACAATTAAAAATCTCAATACATATCAAATTCCCATAAAATAGCTGATGGGGTTTTGGGGTTTTGGGGTTTTGGGGTTTTGGGG